TTCTAGATTAAGCTGAAGTCTAGAGTACTTGGATCACCCAAACTGATTTGAACAAATAGATGGATGGATACTCACACAAAAAACACAATTTACACTGATTAGTTCGCAATTGTTGTCAATACCATGTAGTTATTTACAGCTGCCAGGTTACAATTCAGCCACCAGACTTAAAAGACTTAATATCTTAGTGATATAAATCTAAATTTTACGTTAGCTGAGACTGTTCGGTAATGCATACCTGAAATCATGAAAGAAATGATTCTTTTGGTGGGACTCAAACTTCAAAGGGGTAAAATCCAGTCAGTACTTAAAACTAAACAGGATAATAACAGCCACTGATAAGTAGTCAACTAGTGATTTAATATCTCGTTCACCGAGGTCAGTCGTGAACTAAATCATTCAATAAAGTAATTTTTAACTCAGTCCGTAGATTGTACTGCTCCAGACTCCATGATGAAAATCAACTTTGCAGAAACACTATGTTCATAATTGTCAACTGGGGAAACCATTTACAGGGTTGTTATTAACCATCTAGTGTGAAACATAATTTGAATTAAATAAATCACTGGTTATTTACAGTAAACAAACAACTTTATAGACTAAAGATTAAATACTTTCTCAACCAGTGGCCGCATATCTAGATTGAAGTTTTATTCGCCAAAGACATTTTGCATTACTCAAATGGAAACTAGTAGTAAGAATGCTAATTATTTTATTAAATTTTCTTTAAATGTTTCAAGTTTTTTTACTTTAAATTTCAGCACCAAAAGCACAAATATTTGAGAATCCTGCAACTGATTTATTTATTTGGGCTTTATTAACTGAACGAGCTACTTTAGCCGATTATTTTTGGACACAAGTCCAAGATCCACTTCCAGCAGCATTGTTTGCCGCTTTATTATTACGGCGTTTAGCAATGAATGCAACATCTTTAGTGACTAGAGAAGGAATGTTTCAATTTTCAAGGTATAATAAATAGTTTTTGAAGGCCACCGAATTTTAATTTCACTACTATGGTTGGTGTTCGTAGTTTATCTGTTATTCAGATGAAAAAGATTATCTTACACCACAGGTTAATATAGTAAATTCTAACAACCATCACAATACACTTCATTCTGTAAGCTATTGTAAATTAATATAACTATGAAAGTGACAGCTGAATATAAAGGATTTTTTAACCTGATATATACTAATGCCTGTCAGTTTCAGTAAATGTAATAGCACGTAAAGAAGTTAATCATAGTGTGGTGTGTGTTACTCATATTGACATAAGTATTATATGGTGTTAGTCGTGAACAGAATGTCTGGCAGCAGAGAGACAAGAGGATCGAACAGTAAAGAATGGAAACAGGATGAAATTTTTATGAAAGTGCAAAAACAATGAATTCTGAGTCATTTTGAGGCAATTGGTGGACATCTTACAAATTAAGCATTTACTTTATGATTGTTAGATTTTATTAACAAGTCCTGTAATTTTGTGTTAAATACATTCGATTGTCCCCAGCCGTGTTCTGTTCACTACAATAGCAGTTCCAATACAACTAAGAAATTTATGTTCAGAATGTACAATAAGATTGGTTGTTTCGATTAATTGTTTTATCATATTATTCACATTTACTTTGAATTGTGTAGTGATACAAAGTGACAATCGACAATATAGAAATAGGGGATAAAGTTTAGAAAATTATGTTATTTGATAGTTCTCTATATGATTACTTTGTTTTCAACGTTTTTTTGCGAAAACGACAAAAACAAAGGTTTATAAATCTCAATAAATTTCAAAGTTAGATATAGGTATGATTATCAAGATTTGACTTGATAATTTCGAATAAATTAAGCATTGGGTAGGTTGTTATAAATAAATATATATATTTGTAATATCCCAATGAATAGAAAAGTTGAATTTTCCGACGTTTCGTCACTCAATGTAAGCCGCTTCTCCAGAGAATAAATAACCAAATCAAAATTAATCCAAGTTTATATAGTACAAACTGAACAACGCAAGAATATTATGTTCGATCAATCGAAAACAGATCTGAACAAGTCAGTGTCGTATCATTTCGGTCAACGTGGTTTATAAGCTTATGTACGTAAATTTGTGTGTGTATGTGTGCAAGATCAGGGATGAAAAAATGTGACCTTTGTGATTGCTCCTTTGTACAATTTAAACTTGGATTAATTTTGATTTGGCTATTTATTCTCTGAAGAAGTGGCCTACACTGAGTCACGAAACGTCAGAAAAGTTAATTTTTCTACTCATTGGGATATTACAAATATATTAATTTATTTATAAAAGTTAGACGTAGTTAGATATGAAAATATATCTGCAGAAATTTCTTAAGATGAAATTAGATAAGCTGAACATATTCCTCTAACATCTCTATCCTTAATTCTTGAAAAAAAATTATCAAAGTCGAATTTATTATATATATATAAAACTATTGAGATGGTGAAGATTTGTAGCTCAGGTGGATGATTTTGATGGAGTTTCGTCCTCTGAGCTGAATGGTTTGGTCATGGAGCTTACATCGTTCTTCTGAGCGACATCATCAGCACAAACTTCAGATAGAAGTGGGGTGTTCGAATTTCTCCATATGCGTTCCACAGCTTGTTCTGTACACCTCAACGTTGACTGGTCTTATTGACTTTAAATTTGTCATTGTTTACTCGTTTGTTTCGGTTGTCTCCCATTGGTTTGATTTTTGTTCCTATATTTGTGCATAATTTTCCTGATCGGTTGATAAATTGGATCGATTTCAATGTGCTTGTTGATTGCTGATTGACCTGAGCACTGTTGTGTGCCGGTTCAGTAGTCTAAAGGTTAAGCGTTCGCGCGCAAGACTGAAGACCCTGGGTTCGAATCCCGCGGGGCGGGGTCGTGGATGAGCACTGCTGAGTGGCCCCATACTAGGACAAAATAGCCATCCAGCGCTTCCAGGTTTTTAATGGTGGTTTAACATCAATTGGTTCATGATCTCAATCAAAAACTTAATAATATCCACAAGCCTATACTGCAAATTGTCACATATCTAATGCTTTTTATGTTTCATAAAATGTTATTTGTGATTACTAATTAATGAGACTAATATCGCATTGATCTGGATAGATGAAAGTTTTATTTTATATTTGTTTAATATAAACCATGTGATCACAGCCTAGTAAATTAGAGAGATGTGAAATGAAAACCTTCAAACTTTAAACTTCATTTTACGGAAAACGAGACCATTTTCTGAAACATCAATGAATGGCGGTTGCATAGTATCCCAAACCAATCAAAGTTAAAAATGTGAACCATCGGATTCTAATTCACGAACACTATGTTTGTTATTGGGTTTTGAGTCCCGAAAAGAGTCATAAATACTAACTGCTGATGTAGGTCTCCCCCCTCCGGTTATCAGTGCTTCTCGGTTTCATGACCCTATGTGATAAAATTTGACTTCCAGTAGATGGTACTTTTCTATATATTTTATTTCTTTTTCAGATCTTTTGAATCAAAAGCTTATAGTTTGTTAACTGAATGTTATAATGACAATCAAAGTTTGTCATTTAAAACAATTATACTTGAAAGAAAATTATTTGGACGTATGTCATGTCTTATGCTAGCTGCAGAAGGCAAATCCATGAGTTTCATTTCACATCAGTGTTCTGAACAATATCTTGAACGTGTTTGGAACGGAATGATTGATCCAAGATCAGGAATGTTTCCGGTATAATATTCAAATGATTTTTTCACATAATGTCCCAGTTGATAATTTATAATATTATTCATCGTGATGAACAATTTATTGATGACTACTTTGCCATCAGTTGTAAAACCACTGTATATTAGTGTAAGACTCTACTGATAAGATTATCGATAACTTTTTCCGTCGGTTCATTCTTCTTTAAATGTTCGAATGTGAAAGAGGTATATAAAGAACAAAAACTAATAATTTATCTTCAAATTTAGCGCGAATTTGATTTAATTTTCGAGAATTATCATAGGAATATTTTTTTACTTCAAAACAAAGACCGTGAATTTAAATTGACAACTTGAAAATTAGGATCCACCATATTTATGAAAAACTATAGCTATTATATTTATTTAATGTGACATACAGTTAACACTGATTTATAACATAGTGTAATCAGTAATTTACCAGCAACTAAACAAAGCCATGGGAGCATAATACTTAAAACTCATTCATGATAGGCTCAAGAATACTACACCTACACTTTTATATTGTAAGTTATTTTAAAGTTTAAATCACAATTAATTCAATGGTTATTCGATAATAAACTGCGAATCTATACTAATCGGAGATTATTATTAATTTCAAATGATAAGACTCAGTTTTTGTCTGTGAAACTAACAAAACTGTTGGCTTCATTGTTATTTTTAACCCAACTTACAATTACTTCATGTTGTAAGTGAAATAAATAAGTATATACTGGCATTCAAAATTACTTTGATTCTGAAACTTTAGCTAGCAAATACATAGTTCATAACATCTCGTTTATTCTTTCTTCAGTTTATTGTAGCCTTAATAATTGGAATAACCCTACCTCCATTAGTACCCTTTTCGTTAAAATTCCAAGTCAAAGAAAATGAGGCTAATAAATTTGAAACGGATAAAAAATCTAGAAAGCCATCAGATAGAAAAATGTCTATAGATGTAAGTTTCTATTAAAATGATTAAACATGATAATTTTCACTTACATTTTACTTGATGATGCATAATTATGTGGATGATAACACAGTATTCTGTAATGGGTGATGCTGATTCTAATTCTTTGTTAAAACAACATGACCTAATAATCTTTGAGAGAATTAAGTGAACAAATAACAGAATAAACTGTACGTAAAAACTATTTTTTTAGTTTCACAAGGTTATTTACGCATGCTTTCTACAACGTAATTGTTTATTATTGCTAACTTAAGTGTAACGATAAGACTTCATAAAACTTGTTGGAGTTTCGTTCTCTGAACTGGACGGTTTAGCTTTCATTGTTCCTATGAATAACATTATCAGCACAAACTCCAGATAGAAGCGAATTATTCAAATTTCTCCACGTATGACTAACTGCCTATCCTATCGACCCAATCTTTATTGATTATTGGTGAACTTTGTCGGATAAATTGGCACATCCCTTTCACTTTTACCCATATAAACATCAGCTAGTGATGAAACAATTTGTTATGTCTTCACTTATATCAATGCATGTGGACAACTGTGAACACACATCCAGCTGGAAAAATGCTGAAATCCTGAATAGAAGGAATGCCAAAAACACTAGAAAATTTCCAGAAGCTTGGCACTCAGGTCCATCAACAATCAGTAACACACATCGAAATCGATTTAATTGATCAACGAATCAGAAAATTAATGTTGACAAATATAGGATCAATAGCCAGTTCAAAAGGAGAGAATCAAAATAAAGATACGGGCAATGACAAGTTAAGGGTCAGGGTTCGAGGTCGACAGGATAGGCTGTTAGTCATACGTGGAGAAATACCAGGAGCTTATACTGATGATTTTATTCATAGGAACAACGAAAGCTTCTCGACTATACCATCAAGTTCAGAGAACGGGACTCTACCAAAATCATCCACCTTAGCTACAAATTTTCTCCAACATCTCAATTTCATAACATAAAAGAACTAGTGTAATTGTTGGGTAACATTTTATCCGATCAACGTTGAATAGAAGTTTTTCAGAAAAATCTGAAAAGTGAAGAGCCATGTATCATATTTATGAATTGAATGATTACCTACGCAGCTACTATGTTTTGTATGATTCCAGAAAATTTGAGAAGCTCAAGGCCATCTCATATACTACAAATACCCTCGATTTTCTGTACATAAACTAGTCTTGAGTAAAGATTTTTATTTTCACACTTTGCGCCCTTTCTCTCGTGTTCAATTTGTTATGTAATTTTAGCCTAGAGTTAGCAAAAGAGATTCAAGTGTTCAATTAGAAGACTTGCTAGTAATAAAACTTAAAAACGCGTTCTGTTAGACAGTGAATGAGATGTGGTATTTATTAGTAATCAAAGTACATCAATGATAAGCTTCAAGTTTTTCTAAAACTTCATGATGCTATGTTCCTACAGGACCATTTGTCTGATGAAGTTACACTAGAAGAATAGTATCACGATATTCTCTTTTGTATTTTTCAACCAGTCCTAGACTAAACAACTTAAAACTGAATAAATTTTATAAGTTCATGATTTACTACACACATACCAAATATTTGTTTGCTGATTCCTCTTAGATATATTCAGAAGTAACATATCTCTTAAACTAAAGACCCACTAAGTTTTACAAACTGTAATTAAAGTTTACAAAAATGAGATTATTAAGGGATATAATGACGGTTTCTAGTTAAGAAGATGTTTGATTCTAATGTCATAAATGATCGCTAGTTAAATGAATGATAAAATTCAAGACTTATGAAAGTTGATTAATTAATTCATATGTTATTCAGAATATATTTTACTATGTGATTGATGATCAATAGAAATGGTTTATCAAAACTGTAACCTTTTATCCCTTGTTCACTTTAGGGCAAAAGACCGACATATGAAACCTATCAAACGTGAGTCCCATATAATTTATTTGATTATAGTTTTGTGAGTTGGACAACATTGCATCAAGATATGTACAAGATATCATTGTGCTCTTACAGTAGATTCTGGATTGTAAGTTAACAAGCGCAAACTGCTCTAAACCAAAAGAAATCTAAAACATCTTTATGCTAATTTGAACTTGTTGTTTAGAATTACGTTGATTTGATTTTTATTTTATGTTCATGAGATAAACTTAATTTTAATGTCATCATTACCCATGATTAACTTCATTGTTAGAACATTCAGATCGTTATTTTTTCGGTTTTAGACTGGAAATTAAACAATTTTAGCTATGATGATTTAGGGTTAATCAAAACGCGCTGATGATTCAAATCCAATAATCTTTAACTTTAGTAGAAATATTTATTAAACGCTTGTGAATTATATTTCCTAAACTGACTAACTATATCTTTTATTTACCTTTTTAGGGCCGATAATTCATTATCTATGTATTTTCAAAAGCTTCGAGGATTTTATTTATCACCTTGTGTACGATTTTCATATACAACAGTAAGAAACTTATTCATTATATATATATTCAAGTAATTTAAACGAAGATGTAATGTCAGTGATCACGTTAATGTACGAAAATTTGTTATCTGTTATTAGTGAAATGTAAAATAGAAGTGAAATATTACTGAAGATCATTTTTTTCGTAATATCAATCATATTCAAAAAAATACGTCGGATATTTTTGATTGTTATCTTGTTCACACAAATTAACTTCTAGTCTCACCTAATGAGACTATGAAAGGATATTTTTATTGATTTTTATCTTGGGAATTGTTCATCTTACTAAGAATTAAAAATCTACGCTTCAACTATGACATTTATTGAAAACGATCTTGAGATATTTTCATAGTACAATTCTGTCTGTTCCCATAATTTTCCATTCGAAGACAAATCTATACTAATATTGATAAATTTCGATAATGCAACGAAAAAACGAAGTTTATCAGAATTACGTGATAGAGGCGATACAAATAGTGTCATGTTGAAATGGTGAATTAAATTAGCCATCAACCGGAAATTCTATGCAGCCCAACTTGTCATTATTGAAAAGACAAGGTTTACGTTTCGTCAAAAGCCCAAAGAGCAAGTAAGCGATTGTGTCTATGAATTTATATATATGTGCGGAAACATGTACATAGGAAGGAACAATTGTGATTTGCAATTAAGGGTGGGTGAACACATACCAAAATGGCTGCAGAAACAAATGAATTCCAGTGTTCAAATAAAATCACAGAATAGACAGACATCATCCACCATTGCGAAACATTTGATTGAGACCGGTCATAAGCTTGACATCAAGTCAGCATTCGTTGTTACACAAAAGCCTTCAAGGACGTATACCAAGGTTTATTGAAGCCTTGGCTGAATGGAAACTGAAAACAATTTGTCCTTATCTTTGGCCTACCCTGGTGATACTGATTTATTATCCAGAGTGGTAATCACATTGTTTTGTGTACTTTATTATTATCAGAAGAGGTTTTGTGGAGATTGTAGTAATTTCAGTAGTTGAGATCATGAGTCTATTTGAAGTTAGACCACCATGGAAAACGTGGAAGCACTGGACGACCATTTCGTCCTATTGTGATACTCCTCAGCAGTGTGCATCCACGACCCCGCCCCGCGGGGTTCAAAACCGGGACCCTTGTTACGGCTTACCTTTAATCTGTCTAGTTGACCTTTTAATGTTCATAGAAAAATGTTTATGTGTGATCAGATTGCTCGAAATCTATTGCGCAAATATATATCACATAATTCTGATAAACTTCGTCTTCTTATTGCATTATCAAAGGGACTAATTGTTTTAATATTGATAACTTCAGAATTTCCGATAGGCATAAGATAATTTTCATTTGTTGTTCAATAGGTTTTGAACAAGATCTGATGATTAAATAATACTTTTTAAAAATTTATTTCATTTTATTCATGGTAGAACATCATCAATAAATAGTAATGTCTCATACTGAGTTGAAATTACCGAAGTATCTGTGTTAGTAAAAAGCACTTGATGATTAGTAATTTATAGTGATTTAAATTGAAGGATTCTCTCATTAGCTAAAAAAATATATATGTGCATATCGATTTGCTCTTCTAATAAAAAATATGCAACATCTAAGTATGATATCAGATCTTACCAATTGGTCGACTTAATTATCCTAGAATTTAGTTAAATCATCCACCAAAGATACTTCCATTCATTTACGATTTGAATATATTTCCGGTTTGTTAGTAAGGTGACTAGATTAATCAATTCTGTTCCATTAATAACTGAATCACTTATTCATACATATAAAATAAAAATTATGAACATAGGATGAGGGCACTTTGGGAACCTAGTGTTATATATTTAGAATATGTAATCAAGAATTACTGTACTTCGATTTTTCTGTATTATTGATCATTCATATAACGTATCTTCCACTTAAATAAAATTAAGATTCTTTTCGGAACTTTAAGCCTACACAAGCAATTCTGAAACTAACAATATTATCACCAAACCAATCGGTATACAAATACACGTCAATAAGAATAGATGAAGCAAATTCGTGAATCACAAATGAAAAAAATCATTATAAAGCGCCTAGTTCTAGGGGTTAAGTTAATTTCATATAATCGATTGTATGATTCATCTTACAAAACTATATATTTGATAAAAGTGCTAAGAGATCTTTAGAAGATAACTTAAGATACATACTAATGATAACAAAACCCGGATTCTAGATATATTTAAATAGGTTTCTACGATCACTAACAATCAATATTAACAATATTCAGTCTATTTGGTTACATTACCGAATTGATGGACTTAATTAGTATCCCATTACATAAGAATTAACATTATTCAACAAATGACTGTTGTGTTATGAAAACACCTCTTATAGAGCGAACTTAAAACAAAAGAAATTCGTTTTGATATATTTGCATAAAGTTCTTTACTACCATTATTATTATGAACATAGGAAAAGTTATTTGTTATATTAAAATTAAAAAACGAAGTTCAGTGAAGGGATCTCTTTTCAACGAATGTATCATCAAGCTGTACGATTATATATATATATGAAAAAAGTACTAATTCCGTGAGGAAATGTGAACACAATTAACCAAGATAATGTAATAGAAAAATTATAATGCTAGATTACGTAATACGAATGATAACAATAGATTTAGTGAATATAATATGATTAAAATGTTTTTGTTATAATAATTAAAGGTCATTAAAGGTCACAGAGATGTAAAAAATAAATAAGGTGATACGATGAGTATTTATGAATAAAATAATAAGAATATGAGACATAAGTAAAGGGGGGATGCAGTAATAATAATAATTATTATTATAATAGGATAATCAATATAATTAAGGCCAAGGTAACGATAACGATAAGACGTACTTCTTTTGCACGCATAGTTCTGGTTTAAGCTCCTGGATGGTAAGAGCTTCGGCTATTTTTAAGAGTTGGATACGAAGACATCTGGGTAGATTTGAACGAATCATATAAACAACCTTAAAATCAAATTGTGGATCTGTAGAATGGTTACAATCGACTAGGTATTAAAGTATAGAACTCCTAACTGCTTTCCTTTCACCCTTATAGAATCAAGCTGAGATATTTTCCCGTATCCGAGTTGTTATGTTCTATTAAATAGCAAACTTGTCTAACGATGATCATATCTTGAGTTACTTTGTGTGGAACAGTTTTTGAAAACAATTTACACAACAACTGCAACAAATCATAAATTCAATGAGGTATAAAATGGTATGTAGAATTAGCTCTAAATTATGATCTGCTTATAAATAAAGTTTTTTTCAATATGATTAATAATTCTTCTCTTTGTTGTTATTTCTTTTTAATTCACAGATCTCCTACATTGCATTTTTGTGTTTTTTTACCTACGTTTTACTATTTGCTGTTGATCTCCTCTTACCTGTGTTCTCTTTTCAAAATATTCTCTTATATATGTGGGTGATCTCTTTTATTGCAGAACATATACGTCATGTGGGTTTACCTTATTTAATATTTTTTGTTCATTATTATCTGTAATTATTAGTACATTATATATTATTATGTAACTTAGTATCAAATGGTGAGTGTTTTTTCTGAAAATCATTTTCTTAGTAAATAAAAAAGAGTGGAAGAGATAAAAATGCATGTTTAACGGGTATACAATAAATGATAGATATT